GAGAGAGAGAGAGAGAGAGAGAGAGAGAGAGAGAGAGAGAGAGAGAGAGAGAGAGAGAGAGAGAGAGAGAGAGAGTCCTAATCAAACCATCCTTCCGTAGTAGCAGCCAAGTGACGGCCACCCGTCCTACAGTGGTAACAACCAAATGTGAAACAAAACACTACCAAGTGCATGATTTTGACAAAGTGAGGGTAGAACTAGTGAGAGCACATGCACACGAGTAGACAAGCAGCCAAGTGTGAATCGGAGCATTACCAAAGACGTGAACTTGTCAAGGTGGGGGTGAGAGCAGTGAGAACACATGAATATGAGTGGTGGAACAACCAAGTGTGAAGTGGAACACCACCAAAGGCATAAACTTGGCAATATGAGAATGTAAGTAGTGGAAGCACATGTACATGAATAGTAGAACAACCAAATGTGAAACGGAATACTACCAAAGGCAGAAACTTGACAAAGTGAAGGTAAAACTAGTGAGAACACATTCACATGAGTACAAGAACAGCCAAGTGTGAAACGGAACACTACCACATGCATGAACTTGACAAAGTGAAGGTAGAACTAGTGAGAACACATTCACATGGGTAGAAGATCAGCCAAGTGTGAAACGGAACACCACCACATGCATGAACTTGACAAAGTGAAGGTTGAACTAGTGAAAGCACATTCATATGAATAGAAGATCAGCCAAGTATGAAACAGAACACTACCATATATGCATGAACTTGACAAAGTGAAGGTTGAACTAGTGAAAGCACATGCACATGAGTAGAAGAACAACCAAGTGTGAATCGGAAATCTACCAAATGCATGAGCTTGACAAAGTGAAGGTTGAACTAGTGGAAGCACATTCACATGAGTAGAAGATCAACCAAGTTTGAAACGGAACACTACCACATGCATGAGCTTGACAAAGTGAAGGCAGAACTAGTGAGAACACATACACATGAGTAGAAAATCAGCCAAGTGTGAAACGGAACACTACCACATGCGTGAACTTGACAAAGTGAAGGTTGAACGAGTGAAAGCACATACATATGAGTAGAAGAACAACCAAGTATGAAACGAAACACTACCACATGCATGAACTTGACAAAGTGAAGGTAAAACTAATGAGAA